CTCTCATTTGTTACAGCCAATTGAGAAAGTTTGGGGTATCGGAAATTCTTGAGCTTTGAATATCACTTCTGATTCAGTTTTGCTGGCTGAGGATGGAATGTGTGGACATCGTAGAACCCAGAGAACACGCTCCACATATAGAACTCTAATGGATGTACTCACCATACTCCCTAATAATAACCCAAAGCAAATATAAACTCATCACCTGCTACCTTCAGCTCGAGACTTGAAATGATTTTGTGTTTTTGATAGAAACTGAGAACCTTTTTGACCGTCTGCTATTAAAATCACAGCCCCGTTCTATAAATTCTACGTTCTAAACGACCTGAAAATGTTATGACATCAATGCTTGGTATGGCCAGTGTTCATGATTCCGGTAAAGACACCAGAGATGCTCTGGGCCCTCTGGGACTGGGGTCAGGGCCTTAGCTCTGTCTGTTCATATGGAGACACTGAGTGTGGATGAGGCCTGTACAAAGTTCCCTACAGGAGGAATGTATGCCACCTTGGAGTGAAATTTACTTAGACTGTAATAGTCTAGTTTAACCGCAGAAACAAAACAATGTTCTTCAGAAAAGAAAACATTGAAATATATATAAAAAGGTCTGGACACCAAATCAGAACACATGAGGTCAGCTGATGAAGGCTGAAAGAATCCAGGGAACTAATCATCTGGTCTGTTTTCTTTGCTAGCATCTTTCTGCTCGGTCTACAAATGCTTTGCTCTTGAATGTGACAGTTTTGGGACACTTGTGTGTCAACAACAGATGTGAGAGTCATCGTCACTCCCAAACCGTCACTTCCCAGGTCCTGTGTTAAAGTCTGCCAGCAAAGGCTGGTCTGGAGGTGGTGGCTTTAAGATGGGAGCCAAACAGACTGGGATGTCTTCCAGAAAAAAACCCAAACCAGCTGATCGATTTGTGTCGATTTGGTGCCTCAGCTCAGTCACGCTGAAGGTTGTAGCATCCTGTACCACCGATGGATCAACATCTTAAGAAAACCTTTACGAGCTGCGCGTCCCAAAGACAAGGAACCACCAGAAGCACCATCGCTGCTGATGGCTGGTTGAGCTCAGATGGACCTGAGAGACGCAGCTCTCACCATTAACAGAGCCTGTCCGGAGGCTGCCCCACTACAGGACTGTGTTACCATACTGATATTAATGGAAAACAAAAATACAAAATAATAACAATAACAATAATAATATGGAGTACAACTGACCCAGCAGTGAGTGTATAGTGTCTATGTCTGTTACTGACACGAAAGAAGTAACAACTAACGTCTGAATGAAAGGCTAATAGTAGTTAGGTTGAAATGCTAAAAACACTAATAGATACCAGCTATTAAAAACAAAACAAAACATGCATCTGTAAAAGCATTCATTTACCCTTAAAACCTTGCAGGAATCTACCAAACCACAGTGTAGGAGAGGGAGGGAGGACACCAGGCGGGAGCCCAACATAATGACAAAGAGCTACGAATACAAAGGCATGTGTGAAGAGATCTGAAGAATCTTCTCTCCCCCGGTCGACAAACCACACTTGTCTTTTTTTCTTTCAACCACAAAGTGACATGCAGCGTCATCACCGAAACACATCAGAGCACGATGTTCAGCACACTGCAGGATGTTCTGCTGTTCAGCCTTCATCTGGGAAGTCCATCGACACCACAGCTACTGATCCGATAACCGGACTTTGCTTGGAAACCAAGAGGCAGCAACTTTATGAGAAGTGCTTTTGTTGGTTCAGTACCAGCCAATGCTCGATTAACTAAACTGGTTAAATCGTGAACATGAGCTGCTCCGGAGGGCTGGGCAGCGTGGTGCATGTGAGGACTTTGCCTCCACAGGTGAAACATGAAGGTGGCCATATTTCCACTCTACAAATACAATGGGTGAATTTATCTTCCACAGTAGTTTGTCCTCTACTCGTCATCTGTACAGTCCTCAAATGGACACATTAGAATAAAGGGTGAACCCTCAGCTTAACCTTCATTCACTTCACTTGGACCCTTTTTTGGGGAAAGCAGCACGACGTGGCTGCTGAATGATTGATGTGTCTGTCGGTATCCATTGTGATGAATGTTTTTTGAAGAATGGCCATCCATCCCTCCCACAGCCCGGGTGCTGATACCCATGCCCTTAATGCAGTGAAGTGCTGGTGGGGACGGATCCGTTTAATGCAACCGAACACGCTGTGCTGCTTGGTCACAGCAGTCTCCTATCCTGGAAGCGAGTGTTTTAGCTAACAGCTGCCCTGATGAAGAGTGATTTCATAGCAGGACACGTGGAAACCAAACAGACTGAGTAGAGTGTGTCCAGTGCCCAACCCACCGGTGTGTGTGTTCCACGTTTCAGAAATGCCTTCAATAAATAATGCACAATAATGTAGGTCACACCTTTCTGCCTGCTGCCCAGGTCAACTTCAAACAGGAGTTAATCGGAGATCAAGTCGAGGTTCCAGCAAACTGAGATGACATCTAACCGTATCAGAATCAGCTGTCTAGGTGCAGATTACACAACGGACCGGCCAGCCTCCACCTCTACGGCAGTAGTGCAAATCAGACTGAGTCCATCACCGAAGCACAAACCCACAGAACCAGCAGGACACAGAGGGAGGGAGAGGACAGACAGACGGAGGCTCTTTGTTTCGAGGTGGCCGTCGATCAGCGTCTGAGGTTTCTTTGGTAGCACAGTCAGGTGGTTTGTGATTATTTCCTCCCAAGTGTTTCTCACTTATCTTTCCTTTCAAACGTCAGGCATCTCATAATGCAAAGCAGTACACGAAACTACTGTTAAAGAAACAAAAAAAAACAGAGAAGAAAAGAAAATTAATAATTAAACAGCGCCTCTCCTCTCTCTTTATGTACATATAACTACAGACACTTGCTCAGCTCCAAGCCTGACATGCAGCGGTGATGAATGACTGGAAGGAGCAAGCTGATGCTCCAGTCGAGTCCCAAGTCGCACCCTCATCACTCAGGGCTGATTATTGTCTGGCAATAGCGACCAGAGGACAGAAGGGGGAAATGACCATGTGGTTATTGCTTGATTGATCCTCTGTGAGGGCACAGTGAGAGAACAGGCGAGAGGGTTTGGATGTTTTTAGCAGACCAGCAGGCAGCATTCCCTCTGGGAAGCTGGTGACAGACCAAAGTGACGGGGCATGGATGTTGGAGCCGGGATGATTGGAGGGTCGGGGAAACGGGAGCGACTCCCTCCTCTTCAGGAGACAACAGAAGGGGAGTGGTTGTGATTGACCATGTGACTGTCGGGGGAGGAGTTTGGGCTGCTGCCGGACGACGAGGGACTCCCCTTGTTCTTGATCTGCAGCCAGGTTTCGCCTAGCGCCTTGGCAAAGTGGTCATCCACCGAGCCTGTGATGGACACCGAGTTGGTGGCAGCAGGCTCGGGCTCCTTGTAGTTCTTCCCAAGGCTGCGGCGGAAATGTTCCTCGATCACAGGGTCACAGGCTGTGTTGGCTGATGGCAGAAAGAAAAGAGGTGGTAGTTACCATTTTGATCATGAAAAGAGAATCATCCCACAAACTCTCCTGTATAGTGGTTAGTGGGCAGTTTACTGGCCAACATCACTTTAAACATGGCTCATGTGCATTTTAGGTCAATGGAAAAATACTAACTCCAACATCTCCTGCGCTCTTCATTGCAGTTTTTTCGTATATTAAATCACCGTTTTAAATTTCATTGTTAACCTCAATGAGATCATCGAGATTTCACTGGGATCATAAAACAACCACAGCAAAGTTATCAAGCCACAGAAAACACGACATCCTCAGACAGGCGCAGCGAAACACACGAGTTCGGCTTTCGCTTCAAGTCACTTTGATGCACAGATATAACAGACAAGATGGTAAAGGAAGCATGTTGAGGCTCCATCAGAGCAACTGGTGTGCATTACAGATGAAAACATGAGGCTCGGGGAAGTCTGGGAAACTGAAAAGTGGGATGGTTTTTTTAGCAGGTCAGGCTAAATGTGGAGAGAATGAGCTGCTGTGTTTTCTCTGGAGGGACTCTAGAGCAGAGAGTTTTCCCAAATACTGCCTGAACGGGAGAGTACCTCGATTCCAAAATTACATCCAGTTATAGAGGCACATGCACCCAATACAGGTCACTCAGTAATGCTCAGGAGTAGCTACTGGGCATCTGCTCTTAAACAGATTATACACAACTGGGATATACTAGGTCTGTGTCGGTACCGGTCCACTCACTGTTGATCCTCCTGTAGCTGTTGCTGAGGTTGGAGCAGCCGTTGTGGGAGACGGGACAGTGGGACAGGTTGCAGTTGCGGTTGTTGGCTGGAGCACATGTGATCACTGAAGGACGATTCTGAAACACAACAGAACTTCTGTTTAATGTCATGCTCACAATAAGACAAATGTACATACAAACAGACCAGACATTCGCTACGTAAAGACGACGGCGGTTTCCAGCGTGAGGGAGACAGAATGATTCAGTGACCACTACCATTCAAAACAAGCCAACAGGAAACGTTTATTCTCCACCGACCAAGGAGCTAGGCTCACAAAAGCAAGTCAGTCCCACCATGTGGGGGACCTCGCAGAGTTGAGGTTTCACTTGATAATGAGTATTAGAGCCACAGAAACAGGATGAGCCTGTTACCTGCTGGCGTTCCACGGCGCTGACTGTGTGCGGCGCTGAGGCCATGGCTGCTGTGGTGCTGCGTGCCGACTCCACCATGCTGTTTTTGGTAAGTGCCAGTGGCTGGTCCATGCTGGCTAAGCTGGCCAGGTGGTGGTGGTGGTGGTGGTGGTGGTGGGTGTGGCTGTACAGGTGGTTGCCCAGAGCGCCGGGCACCACCACACGCTCAATGGGGCTCCGGCTCCGGTCCTTGGAGATGGGAGAGCTGCGGTAGTCTCCATTAGGTTTTCTGAAAAACAGCCAGGAACAAAGCCATGTTCGTTAGTTAGTGTATTTATCTGTGTGTCTGGGAGCTCTACACTGACTCTGAACTCAGTGGAAACGACAAATACTTTTACATCTTAAATTATTAATTCACTGCTCAAGCTTTGCAGATAAAAACTGCTCTTTTTTAGCCAAATGACTAGATTGTCAATGCTGTTGAGATTCTGAAAAAAAAAATTGGAGTATAAAAATCTTTGTGCTTCAAGAACATGACAACGACTCCAAGGTTACCAAAACCCCAACGTTAGTTCTAAAACCCCAGCATTGGGTCTAAAAACCCAACATTGGGTCTAAAA